GCCGGGCATGGTGGCACATGCCTGTAGTCCCAGCTTCTCGGGAGGCTGAGGCAGAAGGATCGCTTGAGCCCAGGACTTTGAGGTTGCTGTGAGCTAGGCTGAAGCCACGGCACTCTAGCCTGGGCAATAGAGTGAGATTCTGTCTCAAAAAAAAAAAAAAAAAAAAAAAAAAAGTTGTATGTGAATTAAAGTTTTCAATTGGATTAATGTCAATTATAAGGGAACTTGCTATTAAAAATAATATTTATTGTCTTATTATACTATTTTGTACTGTATGTTATCTTTTGGTACATGAGTTATAAGTGGTTTACCTATTATGTGAATCTATGTTTACATAATTAGATTTGCTTAAGATGATGTACACATTCCTCCTTTTAATCACTACAGATTCTTGTTTTCTTCTTGAGTTTTCATGTCTGATTTTTCATTTAAGGATTTAGTTAATATCCTACCCTAGACATCTTTATAACCTTGCTTCAGACTTTCATTCACCTCCTTGAGCTTAAGCTTGCCCTTTCTAAATTCACCACCCTGCACGCTACCCTCAAACCTTGCCGTTACTTTGCTTTTATAAATGGAGTGTGTGTATGTGTGTATTATGCACATATTTAAATAACTTTGTGTATATCCTTTTTGAAACTTTCCTTGATGCCATTTATACAGCTTTTTTGCTGTTTGTGCCTTTCAAATTGCTGTGGTATTCTCTTTTTCCCAGATTTACACATACTGATCTATTTCTGTTAGTGTGGAATTATTTACAAAGAGGTGCCTGTCTCTCTAGATCTGGAATATAATGTAAATTAGTGAAATAATATACAGCTTTGGGCTAAATCTATAGGTTCCTTTTCAGAAAAACAAATACAATGCCTTAGATTTTCATCTTAACTCTTTTTCTCTAAGAAGTTCAGCACATAATATCCTCTGTCCTATTATTTTCACCTCTCTGGGGAGTGTATTCTTATTTATCTTTTGGTGGTAAAGGATAGTCGATACAGTATATATTTTGGTGTCCGGGAGGCCTGTGTTCAAATCCCAGATCTTGCTCTTCCTGGATGTGACCTTGGACAAAATCTCACAAGCCTCAATTTTATCATCTTAAAAAGGAGATAATAAATACTTAATTGATAAAGTTGTTGGAGAGATTAAAAGGGATAATGAGTATAAAACACAATTTTATTTTGTACTGAATACTGTACACCTATTCAGTTATTCAGTAAACTAAAAACACTACTAATTACAAGATCACTTCCGCAAGCAGACCTAACTGTAACACTGACATAAACACTGCCTAGGACTGACCTGTGGTTTTCATCTGTGGCTGCTATTTGCAGTGCCTACTCTAGGTCTTATGTCTTTTCTTCCTATTCTTTGATTTTTTTGCCCCTAAAACAGACCACCTGTCTGTGATTTTTGCATTCCGAGCTGGTCCATACATAAGTTGCAGCATGGTCTGGAACAAAGCAGTGACATTTAGAATTGGACATCTAATATTATTAATGTAATAATATGTAGTTTTATATTCTTTGTAGTTTTTATTATATTGCACTTCAGCTTCCTGAACAGCTGCCACCTGACCTCTGCCTTCCATAGGCCCTGCTTAGGCTAGAAGCAGAATTATAGTTGTTATGGGTAAACTGGCACCACTGTAGTAATTTGCTTAGTGATTGTATCATAACAATGAAATATGGTGAATAAGTGATTTTATGATGAGTAGTTGTGATGTTTGTTAGACATCCAGATGATCTTTTAACTGATGAAGAGCTTATTGCCAAATTGAATTCCACTATCTTCTTAAAGGATGTGCCAACCTTGGTTTGGCTATCTTCTAATATGGTGGCATCAACCAACAAAGCTCTGGCATTGGGGTTGATGGTACCCTGACAAATTTCCATGATTTCTGAAACTCTGGACTTGTAGACATAAGAGACACTTTTTCAGCCTGCTCAGCGTGGCCATTAGGCTGGTTTTTTTGTTACTCAGCTTACTGATTCTACAGAGTGGTCTAAGACAGCCTTCTCTTTTTGTCTTCTCTACGTCTAGGAAGAACAGAATCATGAATGGAACCTTTTGCACAACTGAATAGAATATTTATGATTAAAAATTGCTAACATTTACTCGGCACTGACTGTATTGTAAACATTTTACAACATATCAGCTATTTGATCTTCACAAAACCCTGAGATACATACTGTTATCCCCATTTTACAGATGAGGAAGCTAAGGCAGAAAAGTTATGTACCTTGCCAGGGTCACACCACCAGTGAGTGGAGAAATTGGGGTTTATATTCAGGCAGTCTGGCTCCAGGATCCATGCCCTTGGTCATGTATTATATCACCTCTAAATTTCAGCAGATAGGGAGGCAATCCACTGCATGGTACCCTGAGGATTGCTTTTTTGTGCTCTGCTGCTTTTTCATTTCACAGTGTTATTTCCTAGCATTTTGGAGTCTCTGATATCACCTAGGGGAGAGAACTGGAATTTTTGGCATTTTTTTCCAAACCATCCAACCTCTCTTAATTCTAAAGCTGAGATGGCTTGGTAGCCGGTACATCTGGCTTCATTGTTTCTTAGTTGCACTGAAAAATGCACCAGGATTTGGAACCAGCTTAACCTGAATTTAAATCTTGCTGTCCATCCAATTATCCAATAAATACTTACCGTGCTCCTAAATGTCAAATACCAGACTTTGTATTGTGTGCTGAGGATACAGTAAACAAACAGTTCCTTGCTCTTAGAGAATTTAGTCAAGTCAGAGAAAACTGGAAAACAAATATGTCAAATGGTGTTGCTAAGAAGAAATATGCAGCAAGGGGGCTGAACGCAGTGGCTCACGCCTATAATCCTAGTACTCTAGGAGGCTGAGGCAAGAGAATCACTTTAGCCCAGGAGTTCAAGACCAGCCTGAGCAAGAGCAAGACCCGTTCTCTACAAAAAAAAAAAAAAAAGTAGAAAAAATTAGCCAGCTGGTGGTGTGCATCTGTAGTCCCAGGTACTTGGGAGGCTGAGGCAGGAGGATCGCTTGAGCCCAGGAGTTTGAAGTTGCAGTGAGCAATGATGATGCCACTGCACTCTACCTGGGGCAACTGACACCCTGTCTCAAAAAAAGGGAATATGTATATATATATATATATATGGCAAGAGGATAGAGACTATGGAGAAGCATTATTTTAGAAATAATGGTTAGGGGAGCTCTCTGATATGGGGACATTTGAGCAGGTACTAAGCTAAGTGAGGGAGTAAGTATGTGGCTAGCTGGTAGAAGAGTGCTCCAGGCAAAAGGTCTTGAGGCAAGAGCATGATTGTCCTGTTGAAGGAACTGCAAGGAGGCCACTGTGCCAGTGTGCTGAAGCAGACTAGGGGAGGGGGAAAGTAAAAGGAAACAAGATGACAGAGAGGTGGGACAAGAGGATGCACCTTGCACTAGATCTTGCAGAGCCTTATAGGTCAAGGGAAAGACAGAAGAAACCAAGGACATGTGTCCTTGACAAATCACATATAACTTTTGGCTTTTCAATCTTTGTTTTACTCATCTTAAGAATGGGTTGCAAGGTTTCAAAGATCAAGATCATGGTAAAAAAAATTTTTTTGAAAGAAACCACCCAATCAGTCCATCGTATAAGTAGATCACTCAAGATATTTCTTGTATTTTCTTCTTTATAACTTGGGCAGGCTGCAACAAGTCATGTAGCTGAAGACTTAAGACCCCATGACCAAGGAGAAGGGGGACCATATTCCTTAGACATGGGAGTGTGATCCTGGCGAAAGGAAAAGGGGGGCTTTAGAGGAGAATTCTTTTAGTCACGGGAGATCGTAGCTGAGGGTCTATTTTCTTCCTTTTCAAAAGACTGCAGCGGCACCAAACACGCTTTCCCAGGGTCCGCTACAGCAGAGCCGCAGCCTCCGAAGCCTGTTTGCCTGCGGGCTTCGGCTTTGCGGCAATCACCGCCTCCAACTCCCGGCATGCCGTTGGGCGTGGGGCCGGCACGTAGACTCCATTTCCCAGCTTGCCCCGGGGCTCGGCCAGGACGTCCCGGCGCCTATAAGAGCCGGAGCGCTGCGGCCGGAGCCTATTGTTAGCCGGAGCCGGGGCGGTTCTGGGCGTCTGCTGCCGGGGCCGCCCGAGTTGCCGGAGCCGCCCGCCCCACGCCGCCTGCCGGCCGTCCTGCACACCCATCCTCCCTCCCCGCCCTGCCGCCCTGGGAGCTCCCCGACCGTCGCCGCGGGGCCCGGGACTCGCTCGATCCTCCCTCCTTCCTACCCGGGCTAGGGCGGCGGCGGCAGCGGGGGCGGCAGAGACCATCACTGGAGGAGGCAGCTGCGGCGGGGCCGGTAATGGGCCTGGGGGTGCGGGGCGGAGGGTGCCGCCTCGTCCTTTCTCGGGATCGGCCCTCGGGCGGCTGTGGAGGAGTGGTCAAGCCCAGAGCCGTGCAGATGGAGGGGTCAGAAATGAGGGAGACTCGGACGCGAGCGGTCGGGGGCGGGGGGGCGGGGAGCTAGAGTGCCGCTGGGAAGGGACGGAGTCGAGAAGAGGCGTGGGAGCGAGGGGCACCGAGGACGCGGGCCTGGACTGCGGGGGCAGCTCGGGGGACACCGATGGGCGGCTTGGAAGCCAGCAGGATTGCGGATGATGGTTGAGTTCGGAATGGAGTGGATAATGATGTAGGATGGAGGAAAGTGAAGGAAGGGGAGGGGGTACAGAGGAAAATGTGGGAGGAGTGGTTGGGAATTTGTGAGTAGCAGGCAGGAAGGGATGAGGAAGGCTGGGTAGGGGCTGCAGATGATTAGAATGAGCGGGAAGGTTAGCAGGAATCTGAGCGAAATGGGCCGAGAGCCGAAGGATTCAGCAGGGGTGTTCGTTAAAGGGAACTGGTGACTTGACATGTCCCTTAAGCTCCGGTTCCAGATGTCTCCCATTTTTCCGGCGTTGTGTGGGAAAATGAAAGCATCACTTGCCCTGGTTGCTAGCTTGATCTTTTCACAGGCCCAAACACGCAGCCTACTACCATCCGTCTCTTTTAGTGCTGTTTTCTTGATTCATCCTTTTAAAAGGGTTTTAGAGTGGCAATGTGATACACAAACCGTTCTTCAATATGAAATATTAGAAGTTATTCCCAAAAGATAACACTGTCCCCTTGTCCTGCAGTTTTCAAGATAAATCCATAGTTGATTCAGATTTTTCCTTTTTTTTTACTGGCTTTCTATCTTGCAAATCTCCAAAGCCAGGATGTTGGTGTGTGCCAGAGTTATAAATGACTGGATATCCTTGAGAGTTAATGCAGCATCATGTTCCAGTTCTCCCACAAAGATCTTGTGTCCTCCATACGATGGTAGTTTAGACATGGAAAACCAAATTCTAACCTTTTGTTAGTGAATGGGTAAAAACCGGGGAGTAGGAGTGAGTGGAGGGTTTTCTTTAAATACCTCTCTTCAACTGGAGCGTTTCTCTTGAGTGCATGATAAGTTCATGATCCTAGTGATCACAAGGACATGCATCTATGAAATTCATAGTATTTGAGAATCAACCACAGTATCTTGTAAAAGGAGAAACAGGGCAGGTCATCTTATTCAGGTTTATCATAACACTTAGCAGCAAGCCTTCCTTCCTCTAACCCAGCTACAGATGGGAGCCCTGCCGATCTTACTAGAGATTTTGGTCCCTTGACCTTTAAGCAGGTTAGGTTCCCGTTGAGTGGAGAGGCTTTCTCCTGTGAGATGTACCTTGTCTTATTATTTTGGACTCATTTTAAAAAGAGGCTTACATTACCTAAACTTTGCAAATACATTCTTCCACAGAATTATTCCTGGGCAGGCCCTCTTGCTAGGCTCACATATGCTGGCTTTTTAAAATGTGTTTGTTTTGGTGGTTAGAGGAATCCTTACAGGCCTGAAAAAACTTAGATCTAGTACTAAAATACACACATGCTGGTAGATCTGTTTTATTTGGTGTTAGCCTCATGTCTTTTATACGCTCTGGATCTGAACTGTTTCATATACCTTTGGGAAATGTTCAGCTAGAATCACTTCAGAAAGGAACATAAGGCATGTAGCCAGAAAGTGTCAGCTGACCTTTCATTTCACTGGCATTTAAAAGCTTTTATAGAGGGTTGCATTATTTTCTCCAAAACCATTTGTTGTTTGAGTTGGTCATTTTGACAATTAACTGTCAGTTTTGACCTATATTTCCAGGCTCACCTTGATTACTTACTTCTGTATGGGTAAGTGCCTGGAGTATAACATATAAGTATATCTCCTGAACAGAGGCACTGATCCTCTACAATGAATAGTTTAGAGAGGTAGGAATGACTAATTTCTAGTTGTGGTTTGAAAGGAGATTAATTTGATGAATTGAAAAGTATGGAACCTATTCTAGTTGTTACTATTGCAAAGAAAGATTTCTTCAGGACACTATGGAAGTGGATGGGAGGTTTGTTCTTGATGCCCAGTGAACATCTTTATCTAAAAGTCAAGTTCACACAAGAGAGTGGGACAGGGAGAACTGGGTTGAAATTTAAACTTATATTCGTTATCAGGACATAACAAATGGATTTTAAAAAAATAATGGAGTTAATGTCAAAGAAAGTGATGCTAACAGAGGCTGGATAGGGTGAAGAGAGCTAGAGCAGTGGAGTCTCCTTGAGGATTTTCCTGAGTGCCATCAAAGTTAATGGAATGCTTAGATCATAGGTCAACATGCACGTTAGGTACACCTATAGCCGTAGATTCTGATTACTCTCAGACGGCTTAAGGAAAATAGTTTTCCCCTAGGTGTCATATCTTTTTTCTTTTTTTCTCCTTACCTACCTCCTGTCATTGCCCAGAAACCACTATTCTAGAAGTAAAAGTGGGGCAGACACAGAATAAAAGGAGAATGGAACCAGCAACCAGCAATCCTTACTGCACCCAAGTGCACAAAAAGTAACCTAAAGAGAAGCGCTACTCCTGAGGGCAGTTGGGTTAAGACAATGGAGAGTTTTAGTAACAAAGATGATTTTGGACCAGACCCAGGCTTATGTGGGGCCTAAAGAGAAATATTCAAAGGAAACCCATACTACCAGAAGCAAAGGGACACCTGAGGAAACCACAGGAGTGCACATTTGCTTCCAGTCATAAATCCCTGATGTTTCCAGACCAAGGAAAAAGCCACTTGTCTAGTAGCAGCACTAACTGGAGCTCAGTTCAAACTGAAATGGGACTTAAGCCCTTTCTGAGAAAGCAGATTTTCGGCTCAGTCTGATTTCGCATGTGGTTGATAAGGTGTTTATTGAGGAGGAAAATTAAATTCAGTGGTCAACATTAATCTATGTCTTTTTTTCATCCTACACACATAAGTCCTCAATTACAAGGGGTTCCCCCTCCCCCCACAGTAGAATAGAATGAGAAATTTGTTGATAGGTACCTTTAACACGTTGACTGCCACGGTAGAAAAAAATTTTTTTTTCCTTGGAGCCACGGTGTTTTATTGCAAAAATAGAATAAAAACCTCAAAAGCAAAATGATTCTTTCTAATTTAATGAAAAATTTGTGATTTTTTTATTGTTTTCTGTGCATGAGTTATATGCAACTTGAAAAATAGTTCAAGCGGCTCCTAAGCCAAAGAGACGTGTGAGTTACATATGCTTCATGAGGCCCTGGGCTCAAAACTAGCATGAGTTAAATACAACTCACATGGCAGTTAATGTGTTAAACCTAGCTAAAATCTTAACCCATAAAGAGCCCGGGGCTTTCTCAATTCTTACAGTGTCCTAAGAATGTGCCCTCTGATGGATCAGTAGCCTGAAGAACAGAACTGATACTTTGGGCTTATTTTTAAATTTAATTATAATTCTTACCAAGTACTTGATTATTTTTATTTCCTCCCTGGCCAAATTTATTTTAGGAATGTGCATGTCTGCGACCTGTGATGGTTGAGGTTTCTTAGGTACATCTTGTGACTTAAATGCAGAATTTGATGAGGTCTGGATAGATTAGGAAATATAAAGTACTCATTAAGTCTGGTTGACTTTGTAGAGCTGATCTAAGAGCAGGCAAATCACTTCCAAGAGACACAGTCCAGAAAAACAACTCTGTAGCAGGCATCTCTTGACACCACAGTATATTCTGGGTAGCTGCTCTGCAGTAATGCAGCCCTGTCGTTCTGGGCAGTGTTGTTATTCCTGCTGCATAATTAGCAACTAGTGAGATCATAGTCTGGGGAGATTCTGGCATTACTGAGGCAGAGCAAGGGAGGCTTCTTTCCTCATCACACATGGCTCTGGCTCTGACAGCATTTCTGCTGAGCAGATTCATGCCGTTCTGGAACTTAAGTCCCAAGGCAGAGAAGGAAAAAGATTTATACCTGGGAAATGGACTGTCTGATACTCCTCGGTTTTATGAAGGCGTGTTGAAAACACTGCTTGCCATATTGATGTAAACAGAGTAGATTGTCACTTTCTTTGCTATTTTCCCCTTGCTGGTTTCTTTACGGAGAGCAAAGATTGTAAAGATAGGTTTTCCTTGAATGGGATGATGATAAACCAGATGAGCCCTATTTTATGGAGTGTATGAAATTGGGAAGGATTCTGGGTTTTGAAGCCAATGCAGATTCTTTAGTACCAAATTTGACCTTTTTAGGAGTCTGGTGAGATACTTTATTCTTGTGAAGATGTAGATAAAGGGTTTTCCTGACTGCGATGTCCTTCAAAATTGAGAGCCTGGAGCTGTATTTCCCAAAGTGTGTTCCAAGAATTATTTGCCCCCTAAGATGCTTTGGAACAAACAGTGGGTTCCCATAATCAGGTTTGCAGAAACACTACAATTCTATGTTTTCTCTCAGCCTTCACCATCCTCATCAGTATTATATATTAAGAGCCCCTAAGAGGTTTTGCCTCTTAGGCAGTTTTCTAAACTCTTTTGATATAGCAGTCCTTTGTCCATGTGAAAGCTATAAATGTCCATGAATTAGTGTATTTAAAGTACACACTTTGGGAAATGTCAGGCTGTATTAACACTAGGAAAAATAATTGGATCTAGTCTTGATTTAGGCACAGCCTAATTCTGCTTTGGATCCCCAGTCCCTCCCACTAGTCCCTTGGAGAGCTCTCCTGTGTGATCAGAAGAACAGCTACTGTTATCTCTGGGTTAATGAAGCTTAGAGCCCAGCTGGATTGGAACCAAAGGCCTTCCCTCCACTGGGAAGGGTGCTGTTGCTACCCATCTCATTATTGTAAGAGTGACTGAGACTGGAGGGGCTGAAGGGAAACAAAAGTAGGAGAATGTTGGCTCAGTAGAGAAATGACCTAATGAGAAACCAGACATCAGTGCTAGGTCAGGTGATTGCTTTCTTCAGTTAGAGAGCTGTGCATATAGACTTGGGAGGGGTCTGGCTTCAGACAGGAATGCTGATTCCTTTTTCCCCCTGGGCAGAATCCTAATGCACCTGGCTAGCCGGTGGTGAGCTGGGGCTTTCGGGCCAACGTGGTGGGCTCCCCAAGGAAACCCCTTTGAAACCAATGGATGCATTCACGGGCTCGGGTCTCAAGAGGAAGTTCGATGATGTGGATGTGGGCTCATCAGTTTCCAACTCAGATGATGAGATCTCCAGCAGTGACAGTGCTGACAGCTGCGACAGCCTCAATCCTCCTACAACTGCCAGCTTCACACGTGAGTGAGCTGCTCCCTCCCTGCCTGCACCCACATTCCCCAAGCATCAGAGCCCATGACAGCTCTTGAGAGAGCTTCTATCTAGTTTGGGGATTTGCCCTCAATCATAATCTTTCTTTGCTCTTTGGAGGACCTTGTTGCTCTAATATCATAAACTGAAATCTGATTTATTCTAGCTGATTTTACTTGTGTTGTGGTTTTGGGGTCCCCAGAATGGGGCTGAATTAGACTGAAGAAGAAGTCCAGGACTCTACCCTTCCCCCACCAGAGTCCCACACAGTTCCAGGAAATTGTAGCAATAGCAGGACATAAATGCTTACTGCCTAGACAACTGGGGCAACTCCAGATTTATTTTTTTTATTTTTTTATCTTTTTTTTGAGACAGTCTTGCTCTGTTGCCCAGGCTTCATCCTAGCTCACTGCAGCCTCAAACTCCTGGGCTCAAGCGATCCTCCTGCCTCGGCCTCCGAGAGTAGCTGGGACTACAGGTGTGTGCTACCATGCCCAGCTAAATTTTCTATTTTTTTGTAGAGATGGGGTCTCACTCTTGCTCAGGCTGGTCTCAAACTCCTGGCCTCAAGCGATCCTCCTGCCTTGGCCTCCCAAAGTGCTAGGATTACAGGTGTGAGCCACCGTGCCCAGCCCAGATTTTTAAATTAAGGCTCAATTAATTCTTGGAAAGAATGTCTGATACTATAGATCAGGGGTTACTCATAGGCCAAATCTGGCCCACTGCCTGTTTTTATAAATAAAGTTTTATTGGAACATGGTGATAATACACCCATTGTCTATGATTACTTTCATGCCACAGTGGCACAGTTGAGTTGTTACAACAAAGACCTCATAGCCCTTAAAGCCTAAAGTATTTACTGAATGGCTCTTTACAGAAAAAGTTTGCCATCCCTGCTATAGATCAATACTATCCAGTAGAATTTTCTGTTATGATAGAAATGTTCAGTTTTACAGCTTTCTTAGAATTTGTCTAGCAGGTTTTCCAGTTTTCACCAGAGAAAACACCCCCTCCCCAACAAAAGTAAAAAAAGTGTTCTACATCTGCATTGTCCAATGTAGCCATTAGCTATAAGCGGCTATTGAGGACTTGAAATGTGGCCAGTGTAACTGAGGAGCTGAATTTTTAATTTTATTTAGTTTTAATTAACTAAAATTGCCATGTGTGGCTAGTAGCTACTGTATTAGACAGTAAAACTATAGATTGTTATATCCTGAAAAGATTACCCAGAGGTCTTCACAGCTGGGGTCTCAAAGTAGATTTTGTAGTCATCAGTTTAGGTGAAGTCAGTCTGGAGGCAGTGGTATGAACCAGCTGAGGTTCAAGGTCCCTTCTAACTGTGCATTTATGATTCGAAAATACTAGAAAGTTCTCCAGGTATGGGGATCACATTTTGGAGAAGAGTTGAAAGCCTAGTGGATGAGAAAGAGCCAAGTCTCCAAACAGGCCGTCTCTGGGTTAATAACGCCTGTCTGTGCTCCCTTCTCAGCCACATCCATACTGAAGCGGCAGAAGCAGCTGCGGAGGAAGAATGTACGCTTTGATCAGGTGACTGTATACTACTTTGCCCGGCGCCAGGGTTTCACTAGTGTGCCCAGCCAGGGTGGTAGCTCTCTGGGCATGGCCCAGCGCCATAACTCCGTACGCAGCTACACACTCTGTGAATTTGCTCAAGAGCAGGAGGTGAACCATCGAGAGATTCTTCGTGAGCACCTGAAGGAAGAGAAACTCCATGCCAAGAAAATGAAGGTGCCTAAAGGTTCTGGGGTTTGGTGTTTTCATATGCTAAGATAAAGTAGGAAACCATCTAGGTTCATTGATTTTTGATTTGCTGTTGTTCTGGGCATGTAGAGATTCCAAATCTTTCTAATGAAAAGTCTCAGATTTGGAATCAAATCTGTTTGAGATTCCCTTCTTTTCATCTGGCAGGGGAGTCTAGCAGATACAGCAAAATGGCTTTCCTAGAATCCCCCCTCTCCATGCCCTACCCCACCCCAATTTTGTTTTTTGTTTTTTTTTTGAGACAGAGTCTCACTCTGTTGCCCTGGCTAGAGTGAGTGCTGTGGCGTTAGCCTAACTCACAGCAACCTCAGACTCCTGGGCTCAAGCGATCCTTCTGCCTCAGCCTCCCGAGTAGCTGGGACTACAGGCATGCGCCACCATGCCCGGCTAATTTTTTTCTATATATTTTTAGTTGTCCGATTAATTTCTTTCTATTTTTAGTAGAGACGGAGTCTTGCTCTTGCTCAGGCTGGTTTCGAACCCCTGAGCTCAAACAATCCGCCCGCCTCAGCCTCCCAGAGTGCTAGGATTACAGGCGTGAGCCACCGTGCCCGGCTTAGGTGATGCTCTTGTAGGTGCAAACTACAGCATTATCAAATAGTTATGTAGACTTGTATAACACTGTGCCTATCAACTGATACACAGCACCAGCTCTTCAAGTTTAGGAGAAAGGGGCTGGGAGAAGACCCAACTCAGATGGCTCTTTATAGCCACCCAGTTGCTATCAGTACTGTTTGACACTTCACAGTCCTCAAAAATTTTCCCCAGAATTCCTAGATCCAAATTTGCTTTAGCACTGCTTTAAGCCTGGCCAGGTTTCTTCTGGGCCCAAAGCATCCTGACCCATATTAAAACAGGTGGCTGCATTATTTCCAGGGCTGTGGATGACACACATCAGAATGTGGCAGAGTTGAAGAACTGGTGGCAGAGGGTGTAGGCTGACCAGATCTCATTCCTTTCTCTCTTTGAGAGCTCTATGTCTATTTCCCTCAGCCTGCTCCTAAAGCCCTACACCTGTTTTCCTCACTAGACTGACATTCAGGCATCCTTTCTTCTGTCTTGAGGAATTCCATCACTGACCCTATCACCTTCCAGCTGCTATAGCAACAGCTGGGCAAATAAACACTGTTCTCGTCAATTGCAATGAAGGCATTCTTCCCTTTCCCTAGAAGAAAACTCCTCTCTCCTAAATCTGGTAGAGGAATGATCTGTCAAAACAGGATACTGTCCTGTTCTATGCCCCTCCCTTATAGGAATTCTAGGGACAAAGCCAGGCAAACCCAAGACTGAGATATTTATTATTTCTATTATTAGCAAGGATTCCTATTTATTAGCAAGATATTTAGTGAGCACCAGCAGTGGTGGCATCTAATACATCATTGTATGTCAAGAGGAAACCCTTGCTTTACCTTCCCTGGTTTACTCTTTTCTCAGAAATTTTTTCTATCTTTAGCATTCTATAACCAGGTGTGGTGCATGCCTGTAGCTCCAGCTACTCAGGACTGAGGCAGGAAGATCGCTGGAGAACAGGAGTTTGAGGTTGCTGTGAGCTATGATGACGCCACTGCGCTCTAGCTGAGTGACAGAGCAAGACCCTGTCTCAAAAAATATATATATATGTATGTGTATATATGTGTGTATTTTTTTTTCCCCATATCTCTCATGTCATCTAATGTTTGTTTTCCTTTTAGATTGTTCTAGTAGCTGTTTGGTGCTTTGCAGTTTTAGTTACCTATAATTTTAAAAATACTTTTATTGTTATTATTTGTATTTTGGCCTTTTATCCATTTGAAATTCATTATCATTGGGAATCTTTTTTTCCCCAAAGAATATCCAGTTGTCCCAATACCATTTAATGACTAGAAGACTCTTTCCTTACTGATTTGAAATGCCATTTCTATCATGATGTATTAAATTCTCATACCTGTGTGAGTTTCTTTCTATTGCATCTCTAACCTCTTTCCTTTTAGGGGACAGCAGGAGGGAGGGTGCTTAGGAGGAGGCCAACCCTGGTGACGCAGACAGGAGCAATCCTAAGGTCTACAGAAAGGCCCCTTGTGGTTGGCCTGCCTGGTACAGAAATAATAGACTAGGGAACCCCCACAAGTCCCACTTCTCTCTTCCTTTCTCTACTGCCTCCCCCCGAAACACATCAACAAACTAAAAAACCAGGCGTGCAGCTTATTACCCAGGTCTGTTGCATCACATCTCTCCCAGGAGTTGTTCCTTTACCAGCACTACTGAGGTTGTCTGATGAAATAAACCAAAGGCTCCAGTCACTTGGCTTTCCTCCTGCTAGCAGCTTCCAGAGCCCCAGGGATTATGAGGCCTCATTTTCTTTACCTGAATTTTCTAGTGAGTTTTCAGAACTCATTCAGCCATAGATTGTCTTCAGTCTGTCCTTCCACTGAGATTCCCTTCTTGGCTTTTTGGCCATCTCAGCCCAGAGAACCCAGATTTCTGCCTGTAGACAGTACATTCAGTATTATTTATACCACCCTACCTCTCATACAGCTTTTCTTTGAAGTCAAATAAAAAAGGATTAGGAAGGAGAAAGAATACATTTCTTCTAAGCCCTGGGCCAGAATTGAGGACGTTCTTTGATAGCTGTTAATAATTTGTTTTCTCTTCCCAATAAAATGAAGTTCTTTGGTACATGCACAGGTAATTGTTCACACTATGGGGATTCAGGTTCACTGGTGAAGACCTGGTGGCCTTGCACTATACTTTAATATACCCTTTTTCCCAAAAGGTAGTTTGGGGTTCTATGGGGCACAAATTGAAGGGTGTTTTTCAAGGTTATCTATATATTGAAGGAACAACCAGCCATTCATATACCTTTTCCTCCCTGTGCTAGAAGGCAAGTGAGCCTAAATTAAGGGAGACATGTATGGGGATGGAGGGTATGTTTGTGGGAATAGATTCTCATCTAGGAGGGAGGATGACATGGATTTTTTTTTTTTTTGAGACAGAGTCTCACTCTTTTGCCCGGGCTAGAGTGCCGTGGCGTCAGCCTAGCTCACAGCAACCTCAAACTCCTAGGCTCAAGCGATCCTCCTGCCTCAGCCTCCCGAGTAGCTGGGACTACAGGCACGTGCCACCATGCCCGGCTAATTTTTTCTATATATAGTTGTCCGATTAATTTCTTTCTGATTTTTAGTAGAGGCGGGATCTCACTCTTGCTCAGGCTGGTTTCGAACTCCTGAGCTCAAACAATCCGCCCGCCTCGGCCTCCCAGAGTGCTAGGATTACAGGCGTGAGCCACCGTGCCCGGCCTGACATGGATTTTTGAGACCCTTGGATCCAGAAAGGTGATGTCCTTTGTGTTGACAGGGTGATGCCACATAAAATTTCCTATCTTCCCACTTGATTTATTGCTTTGACTTGTGCTATCCATGTGGTAATCACTAGTTACATATGGCTATTTAATTAAAATTAAATAAAATTTAAAATTCAGTTTTTCAGTTGCCACATTTCTAGTGCTCAGTAGCCACATGTTCGTCCCATCTTTGCAGAAAGTTCAACGGACAGTGCTGCTCTAGATGATCACTGGGAGGTTCGTGTTGCTAGGGCTCAAGAGACTAACCTTTCCTGTCACTTGGCAGCTGACCAAGAACGGGACGGTGGAGTCTGTGGAGGCTGATGGCCTGACACTGGATGACGTTTCAGATGAAGATATTGATGTGGAAAACGTGGAGGTGGATGATTACTTCTTCCTGCAGCCTCTGCCTACCAAACGGCGACGGGCCCTGCTCAGGGCTTCTGGGGTCCACCGCATCGACGCCGAAGAGAAGCAAGAACTTCGAGCCATCCGCCTGTCGCGGGAAGAGTGTGGTTGTGACTGTCGACTGTATTGTGACCCAGAAGCGTGTGCCTGTAGCCAGGCTGGGATTAAATGCCAGGTCGGTCCAAGTTGGCTGGAGATGGTATGGCTGGGGGTGTGCTGTGGGTGCCAGTGAACGTGGGAGGCTGCCCTTCCAGGGCTGGATTCCGCATGGCTGTGAACTCTTCCTAGTTTCACAGCCCTCCTCCACCAACAAAGAAAACCAGCGTGACAGGAATCTTAGGCTGTGGAGATACTTACTATCTCTTTAGTGTTTCACACCTCAGAGGTGACAAGCGGCAGCTGCCAGCAAAGGGAAGACCAGGAGTTAGTATGTTTAACATTTAATAACTGTTCCTTAAATACTGACTTACTCCTTGACACAAAACGAAGCAGAGAAAAGAGGTGGCCCTATGGATTCTTTCTGCAGACACTATTCACAGGACCTCGACTCCAATTTTGTAAGAATCAAAAGTTTTCAGAGCCTATAATTCAGGATCGGACTTGGCCTTGCAGAGCCTGAGTCCAGTTTCCTGAAAGATAGAAAGTATTATCCCCTCGTTGGCCTTCTGACAAGGGACAGTTTAGAAGACACGTTTCAATTGAAAACAGCAATACCATCCCAAAGAATGAAATTTGTCTGGAACTTATATACTGAGGATGTGGATGCTGAGTCCTGGTGGTTGGATTTTTCCTAACCAACCTTTTCTTACTTTTATCTAGGTAGCAAATAGCTGTAGCAAATCTGGCCAAACATTGCTTTACAGACCGAAGTCCCATAATGAATCATTCTGTTACACATAGACAGGAGAACATTCCTAAGAATTGGTAGAACTGGTGTGGAGATTTCTATAATTTGATATCATAAAAAGACACTATATTTGTACATGTTTATTTTTAATTTTTGGTATGTGTGTGTGTGTTTTTTTTTTCCTGTTTGGAATATGAAAGAGAGATAAAGAGGTAGAAAGCATCTCCCTTCCAGATATCCCTGGTCTGTAAGTTAATTATCTTGGTAACTGCTTCAGAACTAAACCGCTCAACCCTCGGGGAAAAGCAAACAGGCGGTGTAAAGCTGCCCGTTACTTGTTTGCATCTGCGTTCTAGGCACCTTTGCTTAGTTTCCCCAGAATGTATTGCTTTGGACTAGCAAGACCTTCCACTCACGCTCCCATGCCTGTCATTGCAGAAGGCGATAGGCTTGGGCCCCCGCCTTTTGTTGTCTCAATAAACCAGGTAAGTTCCGGAAGAGTCTCTGAGGCACATAAATTTCTTCTGTGAGAACTGTCAGCATTCAGAGAGGTATTTCTGGACCTTTTAACCAGAAAGACCATTCAGTGTGATTTTTGTCTAATTTTTATTTAGAAGAGGAAACAAAGCCCTAGAGAGAAATGACTCTTGAGGTCACACCACTAATTAATGGCTGAGCTGGAACTGAAATGCAAGTGGTCTGATAACTACCATCTAGTGCTCTGTGAGCTCACGCTGCATGCTGTTTTTAATTGGTTGCTTTTCTTCTTCTAAGACCTCAAATCCCACTGCCTGTGTTTGCTAGCTAATGTCTTCTAACTCCATTGTAAGATCTGTTGGTCTCATCTTGCCTCAACCTCCTTGCCCCCTCCTTCAGGTGGATCGCATGTCCTTTCCCTGTGGCTGCTCCCGGGATGGCTGTGGCAACATGGCTGGGCGCATCGAGTTTAATCCGATCCGGGTCCGGACTCATTACCTCCACACCATAATGAAGCTGGAGCTGGAGAGCAAGAGGCAGGTGAGCCGCCCGGCAGCTGCAGACGAGGAGCCCTCCCCCACCGCCAGCTGCAGCCTGACAGCACAGGGCTCTGAGACGCAGGACTTCCAGGAGTTCCTTGCTGAGAACGAGACGGCAGTGATGCACCTGCAGAGTGCGGAGGAACTGGAGCGGCTGAAGGCAGAGGAAGACTCCAGCGGCTCTAGCGCCAGCCTGGACTCGAGCATTGAGAGTCTGGGTGTGTGTATCCTGGAGGAGCCCCTTGCTGTTCCCGAAGAGCTGTGCCCAGGCCTTACAGCCCCCATTCTCATCCAGGCTCAGCTGCCCCCAGGCTCCTCTGTCCTGTGTTTTGCCGAGAACTCAGACCACCCAACTGCCTCCACGGTGAACAACCCATCCTACTTGAACAGTGGGCCCCTGGTCTATTATCAGGTGGAGCAGAGGCCGGTCTTGGGAGTGAAAGGAGAGCCTGGTACGGAGGAAGGCCCAGCCTCTTTCCCCAAGGAGAAGGATCTGAGCGTCTTCTCTCTCCCTGTTACCTCACTGATGGCCTGTAGCCCCACAGACCCAGCTCCCCTCTGTAAATCAGAGATGGGGAAAACATCCACTCTGGAAGCGCTATTGCCTGAAGATTGTAACCCTGAGGAACCCGAGAATGAAGACTTCCGCCCCTCTTGGTCCCCCTCAAATATCCCATTCCGCACAGACAGCGAAGAGGGCTGTGGGGTGGAGAAGACCTCACAGCAGAGTGAGGATCGGCCCTCCGAAGATCCTTCCCTAGAAGTCCCTCTGGCAGTGTGACGTGGGGATGGAGATGCTGCCTCTCCCGTTCTCTATTTATTCCCTTATTTTATCTAACACCATTTCAAAACAAAACTGTAGAAGCGGCTGCTGCTCCCATGGTATTTTTTTGAGGTCTTTGGGGAATGGGTGGGAAAGGAGTGTTTGTACAAGTATTTTTTAAAAGGGAAACAGTACCAAGGAGACCAGCCCCGGCTTGATCCAGGGATAGAGTCTTGGGGCAGAGGAGGCTGCCTGCGTAGTGCTGAATACTGAACTTTCTGGGCCATTGGAACAAAGAACTAGATCTCACAGGAGAAGCTGGGTAATTCAAGCAGCTCTTCTTTATGTAGGGACCAGAATGTGAGAATTTAAACAGCATGGCAAAGCCCCTTCTTTCCTGAGCTCCAGGTGGGGTACAAGCTCACTTTTCTCAGTGGTTACTCTAATATCCCATTTTTGTGTGTCATAATACTACAGTTGACAGTGTCACCTGGTTGAATCTAGAGGAGGGGGTGGAAGGGTCTCTGCTTCTGTACAAGACCTCCAGGATTTATAAAAATTTAACCTGCCTTTTTCAGACCCCCCCGGTTTGGCAAATAAGTTACTATTTGACATGTTAGGTGTTCTCTGACCTGTTCCCCACACTGGGGATTCCTGGTCTGTAACTTGAATTGTTTCTTTCACATGTTCTTAGGTACTAGAGTTAAACTTGTCTATTTGTCTCCCCGCCCCCCGCCCCCCATCCTTTTTCCTTTGGAGAAAAAGAGCTAGATTGTCTGGGGATATGGTATACAGAGCTTGAGTCTTCCATACGTGTCTGACGCTAGCTCTGTCTGGCAGCTCTAGGCTGGGGCTCGCCCATCCCATGGGAGGGCTATGTGGAACGTTAACTGTGTCCAAAGGAGGCAGCGGGAACAGGCTGCTGTCTGCAAAGATGACTTTATTTGTGCCATGCTTGCTTTTTCACCCAGGTTTTCTTCCCTCTTTGGGAGATCTGAGCTTTAATGGAATGTAGGATATGGCACTCTAAGGTCACCAACTAGTTTCTGTTCTTTTTTTCTGTATCTACCCTTGTATTCAGGGTTAGAGAGTTCTTACAAGCCAGTGTAAGTTCAACTCCAAGAATTGCAAATGTCTGTTGGGCCCCTCCATCTTGATGATATAAAAAAATTGGAAGCCAAATTCTTAACGTTCCAAAGGATTCCAGTTCTGATTATAACCTCTGATGTCTATAGAATGGAACTCAAACTGAGTTAAATTCAGTTCTTACCTCTATCAGGGGAGATACGGTTCCTGTTCCTTATGTCCAGCTTATTTTCCAAGATCTGCTCCATTCAACAACACTGATTTTTTTTTTTAACTAGCAAATTTATCTCTGCCTCTGTGTTAAAATGGAGGCAGTGAGGAACAAAACACTATTCTCCAGCACCCTTTATACCATGCTTCACTTCCAGTATGGCTTATTAACCAGAAAAGAAAAAAGCGAAAAACTTTTGTGTGTGTGGGGAGATAACTATCTGTACTTATCTTACTCATAAAGCCTTTTCTTATGGGCTGTGAAGGCCCTGGTGTCTTAAAGCAATCTTCATGTATGTCACAGCATTTTACCTATAAAATCGCTAAACTTAAACTGAGCCTGAAAGGCCTTGTGCTTAATACAGATACATTTTTCAGCCCATTCTGCCTTTCCTATTCATTCCTGTTTTTGTTTGGTTTTATGTTTGAAGGGAAGTTCTTAATTAAGTACATAGGTCCTTATCTCTCCCCATGCCCTAGCCTCATAAAACAGAGTTGAGAGTCGTAAGTCCCTGAGATGTAGACATTATCCAGAACTCAGCTACACTCCCCTACTGGTAGGGGTACCCTCAAATACAAGCACTGAAGCTTAATTGGGACTTTAGCTCTATGGCGAGAAGAATCTTTGAAAGATTGTGTCAGAAGGGAAGGATGAGCTCGACATATTCCCTCCAAAGGAAGGCTCTAGCTTAATCTAAGAAGTAGATTCCAGCTGCTCAGTAAGGGACACATTAGCCTTTGCGATCAAACCAGGAATATCAATCTGTAATTATTAAACTCATTGCCATGAGACATTTGATATTCTGAAAAACTGTAATTTCTTAATCTAAGTCCATCCCTTCATTAACTCTGCAATTCTGACTCACACCAATCCTAAACTGTTGAATGCTAAATATTAACATTTAGCATTAACTGTCTTGTCAAGCAAAGGGCCTCTCTATAACCTAGTCCATCTCATTTCTGGTGCTACCTGAGTTGGACAGAATTCTAGCTCATGGTTGCTAGGAAAGCTAGGCCTCTGATCACAGAAGCAGATAGCTTCAGTTCCACTCAGTCTAGGCCTAGGTAAAAGGAATGACTCTTATTACTGCAATTCTTATTTTCCAATATTCTTTCTCACATACTGTACACAAGTAGTATTTTCAATGTGAATCCAAAGCTTGTCTGGTTCTCTGAAAACATTTTTTTTTTTTTTTTTGCCCTTTAGGTTCTTTACATTGTGATAATGCTGTATTTAAAGAGAATATTTAAATGTAATATTAAAGAAATATTCAAAAGAATGGTGTTTTATTCTTTATCTTGGTGGGCTACAATTCAGTTACTTACTAGAGAAAGGATGCTTGTCCAGCTTTGTATATAAAATTTAATTAGGTCAGTTAAGAATTAATGTTAACAATAGGAACATTTTGTGATGGAAAAATAGAATATTCTCTTTGGAGCACCAAGAGCTAGACTCGCTTCATCTGCCCTTATGTTCCTCTTCAGCTGAAGCAGGACTTGCTCCTGTCCTGTTAGAGCTTTGCCCCCTCTGTAGCCCCTACTCTTGGGTCCCACCAGTTTCTCATTCCTTTAACTTTTATTTAATCTATTTTTGGAGACAGGTTCTCACTCTTGTCTCCCAGGCTAGAGTGCAGTGGCATCATCATAGCTCACAGCAACCTCAAATTCCTGGGCTCAAGCAATCCTCCTGCTTCAGCCTCCCAAGTAGCTGGGGCTACAGGCGTGTGCCACCATGCCCAGCTAATTTTTCTATTTTTAGTAGAGACAGGGTCTCGCTCTTGCCCAGGCTGGTCTTGAACTCTTGACCTCAAGCGATCCTCCCACCTTGGCCTCCCAAAGTGCTGGGATTATAGGCATAAGTCTCATACCTGGCCCCCATTTATTTTATATATAAGACATTCTCCCTATAGTTACTACCATAAAATGTCCAGTAAGATCAAATTCGTTCCTTCAAGACTTCCATCCCATCAGAAGTTTCTATTCCAAATAATTAAATCCCCATTAGTTAGGCTGTATCAGTCTTATAAAAGGAGATTTAGTAAAATGATTAGATTATACATAAGTAATTTCCAGCAACTGGTTTCAGGCAGTCTTTACTTGGGTTTAAAAACAGTGCTTCATGCATTTACAATAAGTTATTACAGAACTACAGGTCACTGATACACGCACAAAAGCTAAACCCGACTTACTAACGTGATGCAGACTCTCCTGGTCTCCCTGGGCTGGGCAGTAATTAGTACCTCATGGGTTTGATCCATTGCCCAAAGAAGGCAGCCACTGTCAGTTACATACAGTCAGATCACTGCAACACAGTGGAGGTAGCAAAGAGTTTTAAGATCCACAGAGGCTGTACTACAGCCCAGAAATTAAGACAATGGAGGTTGAAGGCCATAAACACTGGAGGAGGGGTCAAGAAGCACTTGTACTTCCTTTTATCTTTTCCATTAAAATGTCCCCATGAGTTACTCATTAAAAAAAAAAGTCAAAGTGTTCAATGGATTTGAAAAGGAAAAGGAGAGGTTAGCCCATGCCAGTGAGAACAATAAAAAATATCCATATTTTTGGTCATATCAGAAGGGATTGAGGGGAGCACTGAAGTACATGCACGGATGCAAGTGCTCCAGGCTAAGTGCTGTTCTCCTCACCGGCCACAACTTCTTTAACAAAACAACACAGATACAAAGAATATGGCAATGATGAGTCTAGGCCAAATGAGGATTCCCATCTGGGGCAAAAGCTGACTTCCTAGGACCTGAACTTAACACATCACAATAGAAGCCGGCACAGAGGCTGCTGCCAGCTCCAGCTAACTGTGAGGGAGACAAGATGACACCGCCCATGCGCCATCCCTGGAAAGACAGGTGGTTTCAGTTCTAGCGGTGAGGGAATGTCTGTAGATCCCACATGGGTACCATTCTGTGACGCCCATGGCACCTGCTCCTCTGCCTCCCACACACTTAACGGTGCACACAGACTCTTTGTGACAAGTGCAGTTTGGTCCCACACTGCTATATTATGCGACTGCAGAACAACGCCATCCACTTGATGGTTCACTCAGCGCCTTGTCCCAAGGTAGTTGGTGGAAAGCAGGACCACGTTGTGCAGCAAGAGGGACAGCTCAGCTTCTGAAAACACCATCAGTGTTAGTGGTTTAGCTAGGGAACAATTTGCCTTATTGCTGCCTTGGTGTATAGGGCTTGAAACTGGAGGCAGGAAGCCAAGTGCAGGGAGGGATGGCATTGATACGCTATTGTTCTCAAAGTTTCCCTGCTTCATTTCAGCCCCAGCATGCATGCTTTCCTTTCCTTCCCTATATGTTCATATCAACTTGTCCTCTAGTCCTTGATTCTCATGTGAAACCAGTAGAAAATTTGGCGATGATAATGGTACTAAAAGTCATTGTCAGCCTGGGATTCTCCTGGTAGAAGCTGGTGCTCTAGGATGATTAGTAGGTCTACCCTCATATCCGAAGACCTATAAAACATCAAGACCTAGCCAAAGGTTCTAAACAGGAGGCCCAAGGGCCCAACACCCACCCGCAGATACTTTTTGTTTAGCCAGTAGAGTGTTCTGTTTTGAATTTGAATGCCTTTAGACCAGGGCTTCTCAACTGGGACAATTCTGCCCCTCTCCTCTCACTCCCTCAATCCTGGGACATTTGGCAATATCTGGAGACATTTTTGGTTTTCCCAACTGGGAGTGAAGGGGTGCGACTGATACCTAGTGGGTAGAGGCCAGGGATATTGCTAAATATCCTATAAAGCCCAGGATAGGGACCCACAAGAAAGTGCTATGGTTGAGAAAATCTGCTTCTGACTAGCATGCACGCACTCTTGTGTTCCCACAATCCCCACTACGCCCTGTTGTCTTATATCTACTTCCTTACCTGCCGACGCATGCAGCAGGCATGTGAGTAAGGGTCTCACCGTGTTCAAAAATTAACTCCAAAATAACCTCAGAATAAAATATAGAAGTAACTTGGATTTTAGTGGCATAACCACAGAAATTTGTCTTACCTTTCAAGGTGCAGGAAATCTGCAGCCATTCTCCCAGCCAAGTTCGACACCTGTCTTCAGCAATATGGGTAGAATTCAGGCCACGAAGATAACAAGCCTATACCACTCAGAAGAGAAATGGTCCTTAATAACCATAGAGTGAGTATGCCAAGGAAGGAGAAATCCACAAATAATCCTAAATCTTGTTTAAATAAGTTACAACCTCATCCCCACGTGAAACCTCTCCCCATGGCAATCTGAACTAGTGGTGGACAAGATGACAAGCAAAGAGGCCTATATAATCTAAAACAGTAGGTCTAAAGTGCAGTGCCCTTGGTTTTTCAAGTGCCACAAGAAAAGAAATATAAACTAAAATTACTGTGGGCAATTCCCCGCTCAAAAGCCCACCAAGGGTTGAGGGTTGACGCTGTAATCAAGCTCTTACCGATTTTACTTCTTGAGCAGTTAGCTGAGCAACCCCCAGCTTTGCCAAAGCTCTGTCCAGGTGGTGAATCACAGTGGTACGAGTCTTTAAACGATGTCTCAGTAAGGGAGGAGGCAGATAGGGTGTGAGAAGCATGGCCCGGCTCAAGGCTTTCTGTGACACAACCACATAGCGGGAGAAAGGCAAACAGTATTACCTCATGCAAAGGTCTGAAACAAGGTGAGGCTGTGGAAAAGAGAAGGCCTCAAAGTGCTCACCATGTGCAAAGCCTGGAGTTGGTTCATGCCCAGAGGATGGTTACAGAAACACTTCCTTAGAGCCAAGATATCATGTATTGCTGGGTGGATACCACGCTGTATCTTGGCAGAAGTAAGAGATTGGCAGATGTTAGGAAAGGTCCTTTCTAGCCCTCTTACCTAGTTTTAGTGTGCACTGGCTTTAACAAGATTCTTAGTTTGTATAAAAGAAAGGACTAATTGGAGAAATACCTTGGTGCACATTTCTGACAGATGCCACTGGAGTCCTGCATCAGAAATGAGAGGGATGACTCTTTCTAAATAACTAATGATTTCTGAGTGGGACTGCTTTCGGAGGGCATGGTAAATATCTAAGAAATCAATTTGTTGTTTTGGGGTCCAGAAATGCTGGATCAGTAGTTGCCTGGGAAACAGGTACCTGAAAGGAGAAAGAATTATAAGGTCACTTGCTGAAACTGGCATCTTTCAAAGTGAGCTAGAATTTAGCAAATGTGAATACTAGGAAGAAGGGATGGAGACCCTGCTTTCCTACCTCAATGTTCTTTTTCTTAAGTGAGTCCCAAACCAAGGTGTAAAGGTACACTGAAGCACAATTTCAAGCAACATTACTGAAATGTGATGTGAAAGGAAGAAGTAGAATAGCCTGGTATGCAGCAATAAATAATAAAATGACTCCTTTTCAACTAAAGCACGTGAAAGAACCTGCTTTGGACAGAGTTGCAGACAGAACTGGATACTATATGTGATGCTGACAACCTAACTGTAGCACAGTCCTTACGTGTATACAGTATGTTAAAGATAGTCGACTTGTTTTTTAATTCATTTATCCATGTGTGTGGTGGTTTTAAAACATGGCCACAAATTCTCGGGCACTCCTCTTATGGAAAGGGAAGGTCTATGTCCTCTCTTTGTTTCAGTCTGGGTAACTGATTCAACAGAACAGAAGTGAGTCTTTGTGACCTCCAACAGAAGGTTGTAAAAGGTCATGTAGATTCTCATTCACTGGAACACTCACTCTTGAGCCCTGGGCTCCCATTACCCTGAGGCCACCGTACTGAACAGGCCACACATAGGCACTCTGGTTAACAGCAGTTCCAGTCTTTCAGCCTTCCCTGCCAAGGCACCAGACATAACAGTAACTGTGGACCCTCTCAGCAGGTAAGTATCACTGAGAGACTTCTGATAACACTATATGGAAGAGAAAAACCAATCACCCACCTGAGCCCTGCCCAAATTTTTGACTCATAAAATCATGAAAATGGTGGTGGTTGTTTTATGTTATTAAGCTTCAAGGTTGTTTGTTATACAGCAATAGATAACTGGAATGACATGCAAAGTCAGTTTAGAAATGTCATCTTTGGATATGAAATAATAAAGATATGTTATCAGAATACGAAATGCATTTTTTGGGGAAGAAAAAAATTTGTCCCAAATTGCTGTGCCTCTCAGGGAGTTGCTACCTCTAGGAATGATGGAGAAGGTCATTATCTTCCCCCAGGGAAGCTAAGAGACATGGAGAGTCTAGGCCACCTACACTTACAGCTGTTATGTGTCCCAGTAACCGAGGTTTTATTGACTGGCTT